CTGGCTACAACGCTGAGGTCACGTACGAGGGCGAGGCCCAGTACCCCGAGGAGACCGAGTACAAGGCCGCCCCTGCTCCCGCCTACAAGGCCGCTCCCGTCTACAAGCCGGCTCCCGTGTACCAGGAGCCCGAGCAGGAGCCCATCTACGCCTACCGTCCCGTCCAGAAGTACAGCAACTAAGACCTGCGCTTTGTGATATTGCTCTGCTTGTTTTGGAAAATATTTATTATGTAACTGGGTCACATGTTGAATCAGTTCCATGCCGTGCGAGATGACGATTATATCTGCAACACAAACATATCTGCCTGTTTTTTTGTTTTGTTCCTGTCCAGAACAAGAAGCATCATCGTGCTCAATTACAACGAGCAGGTGCGTTTGGGAGCAAAGTGATAATTCACATTTTTGGCTGTCGCTTTTAAGCTGATGTGATGACAGGTGCTGACAGGTACCAAGACACATGGCAGTCGAGAGTTTCCAGGAAGGCAAACAATGTATTAGGGATGTGCAGTACCGGACATGGTTCATGAACTCGTGCATCAGTATCAGTATCAGTATGTTGGAAACCATCCACATGTTGGCTATTAAAGTTTTAGGTCGAGGCCACTTTCATTTTAGATACGGCTGCAGTACAAATGGGCACGCACAACAGGTATGCAACGGAATGCTACGGGCAATGGTGCAATACAATTATGCGATCAATGGTGAAAGAGCTGAAACAGACCTACCAGTACACTATGGTGAGTAGTCAGTAGTCAGTGGTGAAAAATTACATCACGTATGGCGGTCTTAACCATGCTCAGTGTTGCGGCATCACAGACGTACGAAGACATGCGGTTCCAGGCAGCTGCAGATCGATGCAAAAACATCCTTTGTTTGGCGGTTAGTCGTTGTCTGCGCAGGTGCAGACTACCTCTTTCCGGGGCGCACGTTTGACGGATGGAAACTGCGGTGCATGACACTAAAAACGCGCGGACCTCGTGAGGCGCGCCTACCTGCTTCAGCGACTGATACACTTTCATCACGCCGCGGCGCGCCACCATGGCTTCGATCCTTGGCCATCCAAGGGAATTTAGAGCCGCAGTTATATGGTAGTATTTTTTGGAGCCGGTAATTTGTCTTGCAGCAAAGTTAAATGTTTTTGTTTTAAATCTTGTGCAGATGATTCTTGGCTGTCAAATCAAACACGCACAGGCAACACGTGATATTAGAGGACACGTACACCTGAATGATAAATTGAGAAGATCTGAAGTGAACTAATGACAAAATTGGCACAGAGAAACGATTGTGCCATTTCATTTTTTGCGACACCCGAGACATGGTAGACCCATGACAGACCTGAGTCAAATATGACGCCGATAATTTTGGTGCTACTTCAGGCATGCACAGTTGAACCGCTTATTTAAAAGTGGACGTCAGATGACTTTTTAAAATTTGCGTTGACTCAACGAGCATAGAAACAGTTCTTGTTTCGTTCATATGAAGAGAGTTGGCACTGAACTAGTTCTGAAGTTCACGCATGGTACGTTCCGGTCTGGTTTTGACGTTGGCGAGATCCGGTCCGTCGGGGGGGGGGGGGGGGGGCGCAGTCCACGTGCAAGGAGATGAGGCGACCACGAGTCAAGGATCCATATAGATCGTTCGTAAGCGAAGTAAAATTGAACCGATGATCGAGCACTGAGATACACCGCATGACGTGGGGAGAATGAACCGTCCTCCATGCATCGCTTACCTCCGACCACTCAAATAGCTCCTAAACCATCCCATGTCGGGAACGCCATGCCAGGACAGCTTGGTGAGGAGGACGTCGTGGTCGACGCTATCGAACGCTTCTGACAAATCGATGGTCGCTGCCGACGATATAAGACCGTCGTCGGTGTTGGTGACCAGGCGTTCGACTGCGGCGTGCACAGTATCCTCGGTCGAGTGGCGTGGCCCATAGGCATACTGGGATGAATGCAGCAGCGCTGTTGCATTCAAATATTCCGTTAGCTGTGTGCAAACTACTTTTTCTAAGGTCTTGGAGAGAAAACTGAGTAGAGGCATGGGCCTATTTGGGTAGAGGCATGGACCTATTATTGGACGGTAGAGCCGGAACACCTGGCTTCGCAACTGCTACAACACATGCCGTCTTTCAGCGACCTGGAGAAATTTTGGGTCGCGAGAGAAAAGTCGATGTGTTTGGAAAGATGAGGACTGACGATTGAAAGGCATTCCCGTTCAGCCTGGAGTGGGGCCTCATCCAGGCCCACCGCCTGCGATGTACCCATACGCTGAACGCACCGCGACAGCTTTGGTGGCGTCGCAGGTCAAGCCAGCGACGCAGACGGTGGGCGGTGTGGGGGCTCTTGGAGCCGGCGTTCACTGCGCTCCACAGGTCGGCTGCGATGCGGGACCCCACGGCAGCGAAGTGGCTGTTGAGCTTGCCCGCCGTCACCTCGGCCTCCTCGGGGCTCACCGCAGACCCGCCCTCGGCCGGCGTCGAAGCTGCCATGGCGAGCCTCTTGAAGATGGCCAGAAGCCGCGCCCGTCACCGCGGGCCATCTCACCGCAAAAGAAACTCGCGCATTACTGTAATTAGGCGGCTCTCGGCCTGATCGCGAAGTTGCGTAAGGTCGGCCCTGCTCTCTGATGTGCGCAGACACAGCCAGGTGTCCTGCGTGCTCTCTCGCTTGGACATGAGCTCTCACGGGGCCAGGTCGTCGGTCAAACGGGGGTAGTGCGGTTTCGAGGCACGTATTCTTTTAACTGGGGAGCAGCGATTCATCGCAGCATTCCATAGTCATAAATTGGTGACGATGTGACCCAACGCTGATGGAGTTGGGTGAAGGTAAGTCGAGCTGTCCGCCAGCTGTACCAGCTCGCTAGTGATGTCAGAGTAGCGGAGTATGTAAGGCGAGTTGGTGTCCAACGCGTTTACGTTCACGTTACCGAGGAGAATGACGGGCTTGCTTGCGCCGACGGATTCTGGGAGCTGATCCTGTAGGTGCTCCAGGCTAGGCGTCACAGTGCTAGTGGGGGGGGGGGGGGGGGGGGGGGTCGGTAGATGATGGCCACCATGGTAGGCCGGCCGCCTTGCCATTAAGACGAGACCCATAGGGGTCCGTCTGCCGACATGGCGAGTTGCTTGAGCCGTATTTCAGCAAGGTGCAAGATAGCGGCGCCACCCCTCGTCCGGCACCGCGGTCGAGTCTGAGGATGCTATAGCCGGGAAGCACCAGAAACGCGCCCAGACTTGAGATGTAAGCCACGTCTCTGACAGGCAGAGCATGTCCGGTTTATGGTGGCTCAGGGGCATGCTAATTTTATTAAAGTTGCTGTTTAGCGCACGGACGTTCAAGTCCGATCTCAAGCTGGGCGACGGGCGCTGCAGTGGGTCGAGTGACGTCACCCCGCCTCTGCCTACCGGCGGTGCCACGGGCACGCCCAGGAGGTGTGGGCAGCACTTGCACGAGGGCGCGGCCGTATGCTAGGCAGAGATGGCGTCCAAGTGGCGGTGAAATCGTACTGCGACGCCATCAGTCCTCGTCGCTGTCGATGCGATGTCGTCGCTGCTGCACGCGCTGTCCGGCGCGGGTGCCCCGTCGTCTCCCTCATCCAGTCTGAGACGTCCTCTTCTCCGCCGCTGTGCGGCATCTGAAATGGATGCACTCCATGAACGGCACGTCCGCCCCGCTGCTCCAGGGCCTGGTGCCGCCTCTGTGCAGCAGCCAGGCCGGCTGTAGCCGTTCGCCTTGACCTGGCAGCGACTGTAGTAGCAAGAAGTAGACTGTGGGCGGACGCTGATTGGTGGAACCCCATCGTTATACCTCTCCTCAATGCGGTAGAGGGCTGAGACCCGAGTCGTGACGCCGGGCATATGGCGATTGAGGGCATCGAGATGGCAGCGGCAAAAACAACCCACTGATATGAGCCACGGAGGTAAGAGCCGCGGCGTCAGAAGCTGCTCCTTAGATTTCGTACCTCAATGGCCGGGTTCCTGCACACTTGCCGTTCTCTCTGTCACTCAGGGCCGCGGCAAACATTGCAAACAAACCGAGCTATCGGATTTGGCGACCGCCGTACTGAGGCGGAAGAAGCCGAATCCATATTGTAAGAAACGTCCCATATAAATAACGATCGTGCACATTTTTGCCATAAAAGAAATGACGGTCGTAGGTTTCGGAAACATAAATTTTGTCACGTGGCACTAATGCCGCGCACAGGTATTTGCGGAAGAAGTGCTCGAGGTGATATTCTTCTGCTGTAGATAACAACTCCTCTTTTTAGCAAGTGTCCTCAATACGCCATGGTTTGGTTACGTCATCCTATATTGCACAACATCGATAGAGCTAATTGGTGGCCTTGATGTCTTGGAATCGTACTCACGGGCGCCAAATATGAACCACTCGACCATTATATCTTTCTCGGCCTTGATTGCTGCAAAGCTTGTAGAATGGCAGCATTTGAATGGCGTTATTGTCACGTTTTGGATGCGCATGTGAACTTAAAATACCCTCCCCGAAATACTCTCATCATTTTTGCGAATCCATAGCCCAGAAACTAGAAGAGCTTAGTGTTGAAGAGGAACAAGGCTGTAAACTGCACGAAAAGGTCTTCAAAATGGCTATTCCTCTTCAAAATTTTATGCAAATGTGGAACCGTCTCTTCAACTATAGGTAACGATTTATGGCTTTCTCCAAGGGAACTAATTGCGGATGTTAATTCTTGAAGTCTGAGTTTTGCGGAGTAGCATCATTGTCGTCCATACGTACTGGCAGTGGGCGTATATGTCTAAGCACTCATATCAGTAGGGATTTTTACCTCACCACAAATGTCATGGACGCCGTTTGTTCGCGACTTGAAAATGGCTGTTGTTTGGTGCAACACACAAACAGAACAAGATTAAAATTTTTACATTGTCAATGTATTTAGTGTTCCACAACATCGAGCAATGGTGCGTTTAAACCAGTCACTCAATAAATATATCTGAAAACAGAGTAATATCAAAAAGCACAGAGTTTAGTTGCTGTACTTCCGGACAGGACGGTAAGCGTAGATGGGCTCCTGCTCGGGCTCCTGGTACACGGGATCGGGCTTGTGGACGGGAGCGGCCTTGTAGACGGGAGCAGGGGCGGCCTTGTACTCGAGCTCCTCGGGATACTGGGCCTCGCCCTCGTACGTGACCTCAGCGTTGTAACCAGCGTAGTCGTCGACCGTGTACTTGACCGTCTGGACGCGGCCGTCGGGCAGGGCCACCGTGTAGTAGCCGAACGTCTGCTTGCCGTCGCTGTTCTCATTGGCGGCGAACTTGGAGCCCGACTCGTAGTCGCTGACCGAGTAGTCGAAGGCGTACGGCGAGGGCTCGAACTCGGGCTCCTTGTAGGCAGCGGGGGCGTGGTAGGCGGTGGGGGCGTGGTAGGCAGACGGAGCCCGGTAGGCAGACGGGGCGTCGCTGGCGGCAGCGACGGCCAGGAGGGCGGCAACAATGTAGACCTTCATTCTGGCGGTGGGTGGTGTGTGTGCGACTGGATGGTCAGCTGTTGAGTGATGCCGAGACGCCGAACACTTTCGTTTTTATGCGGGTTTGGAGCGGCGCATGACCTTGGAGATTTGGGGCTGCTGGCTGTCTTCTGTTCGAGTTTTCTCGGAAACAATCCCCTCGGGCTCAGAGAGAAACTGGGATGCTCGAGGACTCACGCGTAGGCGGGGCCAGAGTCCTGTGGGAGAGGTCTGCCACATTTGGGTTATGGGCCAGGTTACGGGCACACCTCGCCGTTTGTTTACCGGCTGTTGGGAATATGTTGTCATCACCATGTCTCAGGTCACTTAAATAACACGCGTTCGCTAGAATGAAATAACACACCCAGATTCTGCAACAAGTCGGCAAGGTTGGGTAGGCCTCTAACTTTTAGAGTGTAAGTGGAGTGCCACCATGCGTACATCGAATTTGGTTGCACCATAGCAGAGATTCATTGCCTTACGGGGTACAGGGGAGGGAAGCAAAGACAAAAACAGATTACACTAAAATATTTTTGTTTTCAGTTTTGAACTGGTTGGTAGTGATTGGCATTCTAGACCAAAGTCCGTGGACAAATATGGAGGGACTAAGACAGCACGGGAATGCAAAACTCCAAGCAGGCTTTGCTGTGGTTTGTAAGGGTTTTTCTCGTCTCTGTGGCACTCGCCGGGCTGGTGTTTTTCGCTTGGCCCGTAACTACACTGGAGCGATCCGTATTCAGAACTGCGTGGGTTTTTGCAGGGGAATGCAGTGTTGTATAGGATTTCACATTGAACCAATGTTGATCGAAACCTCTAAGATGAGCTATCCTGTCATGTGTTAGTTCAGGCGTTACGGGCCAGGCCTGATATGCAAAAACGCTCGTTGCAAGATTTAATGGTTCGAAGATAAACCAAAGGGCTATAGAGTGTGCGAAATTACATAAACTGGGCTACTGAAAGCTGAAACAACCATGCAGTGGGTTATAGCCGGTTTAGAAAAATTCATGCATTTTCTTGTCCTTTTCCCGTGTAAATATCAAAAGAGCGCCTTAGAAACACGTTTGTGTTACAGAGGATCATGTAGATCCGCCAGCAGTTGACTATTTACATTGGTATACGCAGCATATGTTTACCCACCATTCCGATAAAATACCAACATGGCACACGGGTGTCGTGATTGCTCGGGAACGGTGGGGCAACGTGAGGGTTCGGTTCAAGCGAGGACAACAGATGGAGGACGAGTATTTTGACTGTTCGGTAACACGACGGTGAGAGGGAAGAGCAACGCGTGCTATCGACCTGCTCGCTCCGTATCTAGTGGCCTGTCGCCGCGCACCACATCGCGTTCTCAGTCGTGAGGCACGTCTACACGGTCTGTTGTGATCTATGCTACAGCCGTGCATATGGGCGTTCTTAATATTGACAATAATATTAAGCTGTTCACGCTCACCACATTGTATAATTGAAAACATGCACGGTTAGTTGAAGCCAATTCTTCTGCCGTGCCACGTTTAGAAGATTCCTGGTTAATACCTTATGATTTGGGGATGCAGCCTGTTCCCAGTTCTTCATCGCCAACCTCAGACCACTAAGATACCAACATGTGACGTCTCAGATAAGTGTGTTGTAGACGATTATCAAAACGCTTATGTGTTTAAATGTGAGTAAGAAGTTGAATCAGATAAGTTCATCCTGGAAGAGCGCCGATTTCCGCGCGCAGCATTGGAGCCTTTGGATATCATTGCATTGCGGTTATTGACACGCGTCAATTTGTCGTCGGAATACCGGCCTTAACAACAGGGCACAGAGTGGCTGAGCTGTGAGAAAAGTTGTCTTGCGTGAGGTGGCCCGTTTGAGATTCGGCCGCAGGGTGGTGGGAGGGTCCTGCGGTTGTTACATGCTGGCCACCAGGGGGAGTGTCGTGCGATGGCGTTTGCTTGGTCGCAAGTACGGTAGCCGCCAACGGATAAGCTTTAGATGTGACGAAAGGATGCATTAGGCTCTCAAGCAGGGGTGTAAGTTTTAGTCAATTATCGGGGAGGGGGGGGGGGGGGGGCTAACCGAAGGCCTAACAACTTACCTCCCACCAATTTTTCTCACCGGGTTTAGTCCACTTTATTTTGATTAAACGCAATGGATGGTTTTATTCTTTGTATAATGTATAAAAGCATTCAACTTAAGCAGAACAGAAGTCAATGCAAGGCTGTATCCAGGGAGGAGGCACTGGACACACATGTCTCAACATCTTGCCTGACGTCATCAGCGATCATAAACCTGTCGTGAGCGTACATCTGGGTCGTGTCTGGAGGAACCCGCAGTGGCGTGCTCTTCGCAGCTGAAAACGCACAGCCTGGTGTGCCACTTGGCTCAAACTTCTGCCATCTGACTGGAGCCGGGTGGACGGCGCCACTGGATACAACGCGTGCCTGTGGTAATGCATGACCATGGAATGCTGCGATTAATCACCGCTGCCCATTTAAAAGAGTACGTGCCTCCAAACCGCACTACCCCTGGTTGACCGACGACCTGGCCCCGCGAAAGGTCGTGTCCGAGCGAGAGAGCGCACAGGACACCTGGCTGTGTTTACGCACACAAGAGAGCAGGGCCGACCTTACGCAACTTCGCTATCAGGCCGAGAGCCGCCTTATTACAGCAAGTCGCGAGTTCCTTTGCGACGAGATAGCGCGCGGTGACGGCCGCGGCTTCTGGCCATCTTCAAGAGGCTCGCCATGGCAGCTTCGACGCCGGCTTGCACATCCCTGATACATTGTTTGCCTTCCTGGAAACTCTCGACTGCCGCGTGCCTTGGTGTCTGTCAGCACCTGTCTTCAGATCAACTAAAAAGCGACAGCGAAAAAAGTAAAGTATCATTTTGTTCTCCAGCTTGTCTGCTCGTTGTAATTAGGCACGATGATGCTTCTTGTTCGGGACAGGAACAAAAAAATCAGGTAAATATGGTTGTGTTGCAGATATATTCGTCTCCTCGCACGACATGGAACTGATCCAACATGTGACCCAGTTACATAATAAATATTTTCCAAAACAAGCAGAGCAATATCACAAAGCGCAGATCTTAGTTGCCGTACTTCTGGACGGGACGGTAAGCGTAGATGGGCTCCTGCTCGGGCTCCTGGTACACGGGATCGGGCTTGTAGACGGGAGCAGCCTTGTAGACGGGAGCAGGGGCAGCCTTGTACTCGGGCTCCTCGGGATACTGGGCCTCGCCCTCGTACGTGACCTCAGCGTTGTAGCCAGCGTAGTCGTCGACCGTGTACTTGACCGTCTGGACGCGGCCGTCGGGCAGGGCCACCGTGTAGTAGCCGGACGTCTGCTTGCCGTCGCTGTTTTCGTTGGCGGCGAACTTGGAGCCCGACTCGTAGTCGTTGACCGAGTAGTCGAAGGCGTACGGCGAGGGCTCGAATTCGGGCTCCTTGTAGGCAGCGGGGGCGTGGTAGGCGGTGGGGGCGTGGTAGGCAGACGGAGCCCGGTAGGCAGACGGGGCGTCGCTGGCGGAAGCGACGGCCAGGAGGGCGGCAACAATGAAGACCTTCATTCTGGCGTTGGGTGGTGTGTGTGCGACTGGACGGCCAGCTGTTGACTGATGCCGAGACGCAAAGCACTTTCCCTTTTATACCAAACTGGACCGACCCATGGCCTTGGTAAGATCACAGCGGGTGGACGCCTCCTATGTGAGTGTTTTCGAAAACAGGGAGTGGCGGACATGGGCGGGGTCAGTGTCCAGATGCTCTGGTCGGTCACATGTGGGTTATGGCTACCGTCACAAGCTGATCCGGCTATAAACCGGTCTTGACATGCGTGATCTTGAGAGTAAAATTCAAATTACGGTCTGAAAATTAACTGCGAAATTATCAAAACTAAGTGTGGTACCAGGTAGATGCCACATCACGGTAGTATCAAAGGTAACAGAAACTTTGGGCGCGAATGCATCACATGCATAACCGCACATCCACGCAAGGGGAATCCAAGGGGGGGGGGGCAAAGAGGTCATGCCCCAACAGGTTCTGAAGCTATGATTCGGCCCGCTTCCCAAACGGCCTGACGCATGCTGTTATGCGCATGCTTCGTTATGTTTTCAGCAATTAATAGCGTAGGTTTTCGTTTTAAATGAACTCCACCATCAGGATGGAGCGCGAGAGGCGGAGATGGGCTTTGTAACCGGTGTTCTGTTCTCAGACACGAATAGTCTACTATGTCATGTCATTCCCTCTTTACGCTAGACGGACCGACCTTTAAAGAGGACGCAGAGGCTTGCCATGGAACATCGCGTGCATGAAACGCAGGCGTGATGCGTTGATCACGCCGCTATGGCAACGGGTTCCCCCGCGAGGCAGACTGCGTCTTCGCGGCGGGGGGGGGGGGGGGTGACTGCACCATTTTTCGTCGGTAACTTACAACAAATGAGAAGAAAAACTACCACACTTGGCTGCCCAAAACAAAAACGCTCTAAAATACTTTGATGGGTAGTAGCGTAAAACAATAGGAACAAAATGTTGTTCTAACTAACCTAGCATAGCAATCCTTTATGCAGCAGGTTGTCCTTCGTCAACGTCACCTTCGCCATCATCAGCAGCAGTCGTGCGGGAATCGGGAACGGTAATGGGCTCAGATGGAGGCTGGAAACATGGATACAGGAGCTAACGCAAACCGTACGGAGAGGTATTGCAAACGTTCGAAAAGTGATACCGGGCCGACACCGGCGCCATCTTAAAATCCACATATAATGTTAACCGGACTCGACACGTTTCACTTGAACTGGTGTTTACCAGCACCTGATCTGAAAACACCCAGTGTAAACCACCATACATTGACAAAGATGTATGTACGATGAAATGAGCGTGAGTGTTGTGGGGAGGGAGGGGAGAGGCGGTACCTCTTTTAACATTCAGTCTTTCCGTGCACAACTACTCCGCAGTGCTCCACCACGAAAAAAGCAGGGAAGAGGAGGACCCCCCTCCTACCCTTCCCCCTCCCCCTCCCACCTCACCCCATTCAAATTGTACCTTTTCTGGTAACGGCAAAGTTCATTTTAAGTCTGAACAAGTTCAATGCTGGTTCATTGAACATTGCATAGGCTGCTACGACCGGTGTTGCTTGGAAAGAATCCTGAATTTCTTGTAGCTTCTGCCATGGAAGACAGCCTTTTTCTGGAATGTCAGTACCCAGTAAGATTTTGGTCAGACTTGTGTCTTCCAGGTATATATCTTTATCTGCTATCTGATATCTATCTGAATATATCTGCAACACAAACATATCTACCTGCTTTTTTGTTCCTGTCCCGAACAAGAAGCATCGCCGCGCCTAATTACAACGAGCAGACAAGCTGGAGAACAAAATGATACTTTACTTTTTTCGCTGTCGCTTTTTAGCTGATCTGAAGACAGGTGCTGACAGACACCAAGGCACGCGGCAGTCGAGAGTTTCCAGGAAGCCAAACAATGTATCAGGGATGTGCAAGCCGGCGTCGAAGCTGCCATGGCAAGCCTCTTGAAGATAGGCCAGAAGCCGCGGCCGTCACCGCGCGCCATCTCGCCGCAAAGGAACTCGCGCCTTGCTGTAATAAGGCGGCTCTCGGCCTGATTGCGAAGTTGCGTAAGGTCGGCCCTGCTCTCTGGCGTGCGCAGACACAGCCAGGTGTCCTGTGCGCTCTCTCGCTCGGACACGACTTTTCGCGGGGCCAGGTCGTCGGTCAACCAGGGGTTGTTCCGTTTGGAGGCACGTATTCTTTTAACTAGGGAGCAGCGATTTATCGCAGCATTCCACAGCCATGAATTACCGCAGGCACGCGTTGTAGTCAGTGGCGCCGCCCACCCGGCTCCAGTCAGATGGCAGAAGTTTGAGACAGATGACAATCCAGTCTGTGCGTTTCCACCTGCGAAGAGCAGGCCACTGCGGATTTCTCCGGACACGACCCAGATGTACGCTCACGACAGGCTGATGATCGCTGATGACGTCAGGCAAGATGTTGACGTCAGGTGTGCGGTCACGCTGGTTGGTGATAATGTGATCCAGCGCAAATGGAGTTGGGTGAAGGTAAGTCGAGCTGTCCAACAGCTGTACCAGCTCGCTGGTGATGTCAGAGTAGCGGAGTATGTGAGGCGAGTTGGTGTACAACGCGTTTACGTTCACATTACCGAGGAGAAAAGCGGGCTTGCTTGCGCCGACGGATTCTGGGAGCTGATCCTGTAGGTGCTCCAGGCTAGGCGTCACAGTGCTAGTGGGGGGGGGGGGGGGGGGGGGGAGGGGTAGGGGCGGTAGATAATCCCCACGGTAGTAGGCTGGCCGCCTTGCCATTAAGCTGAGATCCGCAGGGGTCCGTCTGCCGGCATGGCGAGTTGCTTGAGCCGTATTTCAGCACGGTGCAAGATAGCAACGCCACCCCTCGTCGGGCACCGCGGTCGCGGCTGAGGATGCTATAGCCGGGAAGCACCAGAAGCGCGCCCAAGACTCGAGATGTGAGCCACGTCTCTGACAGGCAGAGCATGTCCAGTTTATGGTGGACCAGGAGCATGCTAATTTTATCAAAGTTGCTGTTTAGAGAACGGACGTTCAAGCCTGATCTTAAGCTGGACGACGGGCGCTGCAGTGGGTCGGGTTACGTCACCCCGCCTCTGCCTACCGGCGGTGCCACGGGCACGCTCAGAAGGCGTGAGCAGCACTTGCATGAGGGCGCGGCCGTATGCCAGGCAGAGGTGGCGTCCAAGTGGCGGTGAAATCGTACTGCGACACCGTCAGTCCGCGCCACTGTCGATGCAATGTCGTCGCTGCTGCATGCGCTGTTCGGGGCAGGTGCCCCATCGTCTCCCTCGTCCAGTTTGAGACGTCCGCTTCTCCTCCGCCGCTGTGCGGCACCTGGAATGAATGCACTCCATGCACGACACGGCCGCCCCGCTGCTCCAGGGCCTGGCGCCGCCTCTGTGCAGCAGCCAGACCGGCTGTAGCCGTTGGCCTTGACCTGCCAGCAACTGTGGTAGAAAGAAGTAGACTGTGGGCGGACGCGCTGATTGGTGGAACCCCATCGTTATACCTCTTCTTGATGCGGTAGAGGACGCAGACCCCAGTCGTGACGCCGGGCATATGGCGATTGAGGGCATCGAGATGGCAGCGGCAAAAACAGTTCACTGATATGAGCCACGGAGGTAAAAGCCACGGCGTCAGAAGTTGCTCACTAGATTCCGTACATCAATGGCCCGGTTCCTGCACACTTGCAGTGCTCTCTGTCACTCAGGATCGCGGCAAACATTGCAAACAAACCGAGATATCGGATTTTGCGACCGCCGTACTGAGGCGGAAGAAGCCGAATCCATACTGTAAGAAACGTCCCACATAAATAAAGACCGTGCACATTTTTGCCGTAAAAGAAATGACGGTTGTAGGTTTCGGAAACATACATTTTGTCGCGTGGCACAAATGGTGCGCATAGGCATTTGCAGAAGAAGTGTTCAAGGTGATATTCTTCTGCTGTAGATAACACAACTCCTCTTTTTAGCAAGTGTCCTCAATACGCCATGGTTTGGTTATGTCATCCTATATTGCACAACATCGATAGAGCTAATTGGTGGCCTTGATGTCTTGGAATCGTACTCACGGGCGCCAAATATGAACCATTCGATCATTATATCTCTCTCGGCCTTGATTGCTGCAAAGCTTGTAGAATGACAGTATTTGAATGGCGTTATTGTCACGTTTTGGATGCGCATGTGAACTTAAAATACTCTCCCAGAAATACTCTCATCATTTTTGCGAATCCATAGCCCAGAAACTAGAAGAGCTTAGTGTTGAAGAGGAACAAGGCTGTAAACTGCACGAAAAGGTCTTCAAAATGGCTATTCCTCTTCAAAATTTTATGCAAATGTGGAACCGTCTCTTCAACTATAGGTAACGATTTATGGCTTTCTCCAAGGGAACTAATTGCGGATGTTAATTCTTGAAGTCTGAGTTTTGCGGAGTAGCATCATTGTCGTCCATACGTACTGGCAGTGGGCGTATATGTCTAAGCACTCATATCAGTAGGGATTTTTACCTCACCACAAATGTCATGGACGCCGTTTGTTCGCGACTTGAAAATGGCTGTTGTTTGGTGCAACACACAAACAGAACAAGATTAAAATTTTTACATTGTCAATGTATTTAGTGTTCCACAACATCGAGCAATGGTGCCTTTAAACCAGTCACTCGATAAATATATCTCAAAACAGAATGATATCATAAAACTCAGATCTTAGTTGCTGTACTTCTGGACGGGACGGTAGGCGTAGATGGGCTCCTGCTCGGGCTCCTGGTACACGGGAGCGGGCTTGTAGACGGGAGCAGCCTTGTAGACGGGAGCAGGGGCGGCCTTGTACTCGAGCTCCTCGGGATACTGGGCCTCGCCCTCGTACGTGACCTCAGCGTTGTAGCCAGCGTAGTCGTCGACCGTGTACTTGACCGTCTGGACGCGGCCGTCGGGCAGGGCCACCGTGTAGTAGCCGGACGTCTGCTTGCCGTCGCTGTTCTCGTTGGCGGCGAACTTGGAGCCCGACTCGTAGTCGTTGACCGAGTAGTCGAAGGCGTACGGCGAGGGCTCGAATTCGGGCTCCTTGTAGGCAGCGGGGGCGTGGTAGGCGGTGGGGGCGTGGTAGGCAGACGGAGCCCGGTAGGCAGACGGGGCGTCGCTGGCGGCAGCGACGGCCAGGAGGGCGGCAACAATGAAGACCTTCATTCTGGCGGAGGGTGGTGTGTGTGCGACTGGATGGTCAGCTGTTAACTGATGCCGAGACGTCCAACACCTTCTTTTTTATACGGGTTTGGAGCGGCGCATGACCTTGGAGATTTGGGGCTGCTGGCTGTCTTCTGTTCGAGTTTTCTCGGAAACAATCCCCTCGGGCTCAGAGAGAAACTGGGATGCTCGAGGACTCACACGTGGGCGGGGCCAGAGTCCTGTGGGAGAGGTCTACCACATTTGGGCTACGGGCCAGGTCACAGGCACACCTCGCCGTTTGTTTACCGGCTGTTAGGAATATGTTGTCATCACCATGTCTCAGGTCACTTAAATAACACGCGTTCGCTAGAATGAAATAACACACCCAGATTCTGCAGCAAGTCGGCAAGGTTGGGTAGGCCTCCAACTTTTAGAGTGTAAGTGGAGTGCCACCATTCGTACATCGAATTTGGTTGCACCATAGCAGAGATTCATTGCCTTACGGGATACAGGGGCGGGAAGCAATGACAAAAACAGATTACACTAAAATATTTTTGTTTTCAGTTTTGAACTGGTTGGTAGTGATTGGCATTCTAGACCAAAGTCCATGGACAAATATGGAGGGACTAAGACAGCACGGGAACGCAAAACTCCAAGCAGGCTTTGCTGTGGTTTGTGAGGGTTTTTCTCGTCTCTATGGCACTCGCCGGGCTGGTGTTTTTCGCTTTCACCGAGATGGCTTTGATCTCACCGTTATCGGACGAGGTGACCTCAAGGAATCACGGGATCTCGAGAAAGCTAAGAACGGTATAGCCACGCGGAAAGGAGTTAAGAGCGACTTCCGCATGACCCGATCAGTGTTGCGTCATTATCATCCGTGCAAGTCACTTTTGATGGGCCTAAATCCCCAAGCGTGTGATTGCTACACTGGAGCAATCCGTATTCAAAACTGCGTGGGTTATTGCAGGGGAATGCAGTGTTGTATAGGATTGCACGTTGAACCAATGTTGATATAAACCTCTAAGACGAGGTATCCTGTCAAGTGTCAATTCAGGCGTTACAGGCCAAGCCTGATATGCAATAACGCTTGTTGCAAGATTTAATGGTTCGAAGATAAACCAACGGGCGATAGAGTGTGCAAAATTACATAAACTGGGCTACTAAAAGCTGAAAAAACAAACATGCAGTGGGTTATTTATAGCCGATTGAGAAAAATTCATGCATTTTCTTGTCCTTTTTCCGTGTAAATATCAAAAGGGCGCATTAGAAACACTTTTGTGCTACAGAGGATCATGTAGATCCGCGAGCAGTTGACTATTTACAGTGGTATACGCAGCATATGTTTACCCACCATTCTGATAAAATACCAACATGGCCCACGGGTATCGTGATTGTTCGGGAACGGTGGGGCAACGTAAGTCTTCGGTTCAAGCGAGGACAACAGATGGAGGACAAGTATTTTGACTGTTCAGTAACGCAACGGTACCAGGGAAGAGCAACGCGTGCTACCGGACTGTTCGCTCTGTATCTAGTGGCCTGTCACCGCGCACCACATCGCGTTCTCAGTCGTGAGGCACGTCTACGCGGTCTGTTGAGATCTATGCTACAGCCGTGCATATGTGCGTTCTTAATATTAATAAGACTATTAAGCTGTTCACCCTCACGACATTGTTTAATTGAAAATATTCATGGCTGGTTGAAGCCAATACTTCTGCCGTGCCACGTTTAGAGGATTTCTGGTTGATACCTTATGATTTGGGGATGCAGCCTGTTCCCAGTTCTTCATCGCCAAGCTCCGACCATTAAGATACCAACATGTGACGTCTCAGATAAGTGTGTTGTAGACGGCTATCAAGAACGCCTGTGTGCAGAGATGCGAGTAAGAAGCTGAATCAGATGAGTTGACCCGTGAAGAGCGCCGATTTCCGCGCGAAGCAATGGGGCCTCTGGATATCATTACATTGCGGTTATGGGCACGCGTCAGTTTTCCGCCGAAATACCGGCCTTAACAACAGGGCACAGAGGGACTGAGCTGTGAGAAAAGTTGTTTTGTGTGAGGTGGCCGGTTTGTGATTCGGCCGCAGGGTGGTGGGAGGGTCCTGCTGTTGTTACATGCTGGCCACCAAGGGTAGTGTCGTGCGATGGCATTTGCTTGGTGGCATGTAAGGTGGCCGCCAACGGATAAGCTTTAAGGTGACGAAAGGATGAATTAGGCTCAAAGCAGGGGTGTCCATTTTGGTACATTAGTGAGGGGGGAGGGCCGAAACGAGGGCCCGACAACTTCCTCCCCAAATTTTTCTCACCAGATTTAGCCCACTTTATTTTGATCAAACGCAATGGATGGCTTGATTATTTGTATAATTCACAAAAGTATTCAACTTAAACAGTATAGAAGTCAATGCAAGAATGGATCCAGGGAGCAGGTACTAGACACACATGTCTCTTCTGATCGGCACGTGAAGATGCCCTTTTAGAGGCCACCTTAGGGCGCCGATGGCGCTTTTCTATGGCGGTCATGGGAGGCGGTACGCATTTGGTTGTGTGGGACGGGGACGGGGTAACACATGAAGGGCTTAGGCAATCCCCATATTCAAGAGCTTTTCACTTTAGCTCCACAAACCATTGCGTGTCCTATGGCGAGAGGCATGTGAAGTTTATTGCATTGTTTACCCGCTCAGGTGACACGACTTGTATTTTGCGGTGGGAGCAGCCACGACTCTTTATTATGAGAGTGGTACGAGACGCCACTACGCAGAGAGATCAAAGAAGGTAATCATTGCCCTATGATCGTCGTTTACCCACTTTTTTGTAGTATTCCAGCCACAAACATGGAGGGGGGAGGGGGTAGGGTCCTCACAAAGGAGTACAAGTCGGCACCCGTGCTCTGAAGGCTCCTACACATCCATGGGAATGGTCAGCAGGTTCATTAGGCTGCGTTAACATTTATTATTGCTGTCTAATGGGGGGGGGGGAGGGGGGGTCGTGTGCTTGATCATAGTTGGTACTTACTCGAAACACCCTGAACCACCGGTCGCATCTACCACAACAGTCACGCTTCATATGGTCCGGGGTTCCCTTGCGACATGGAACTTGCCGCATATTTTGTGTTATGACAATGTAAGGTGCTTTACTTGTCCTCGCGCTTAAGACTAGTTGTGCATGAAATGGCATTGGGATATGATATCATCTCCGCTGTCGCCGAAAAGCGATGACCTAGCTAAGCGCTTTGTGCGTACGCTTCAACACCAGTATCGCGTTTATTTAGGACCTGTGAAGATGGCCCGGCTTCTGTTCCAGTGTCGGGGCACGCCTCACGCCATCGTTACACGGTCGTCGACTGACCTCTTCGTCGGTCGGCCGCTGCGCAACCAGCAGGACTTATTCAGACCGGACATGACTGATGCCAAAGAAACACGACAGCGATATCAGGAGCGGTATGAGGATCAGGGGGCTTAAACAATGTTTGTAGCAGCGCGTGATGCGTCGTGGGTCACGTCTGTAGGCGGACCAGAGGGCGGGGGCGGACGGACGGAATTGGCCACCTGTTGTAATGCTGGAAGTGATAAGTATCAAGGTGACAGTAATGTTGATTGATTTAAATTTGGTCGTTTAGTGGGCGGGGGGGTTGCAGTGCATGGATGGCATTCGTATACAAGGTACTGGAGATGCGGCTCGACTCTGAATGTGTCGGTATCATGATAGGTCGTGCTGCGATGACGTACTTGGCCGCGTACCTGCCCTCGGCGACGTTTCTAGCAGCGCCTGCCATGCCCGCGCTGTAGTTGTAACAGCCTCCCTTCCTGGCCAACCTGAACGCGCACGGGCCGCTCGGGCTCAGTTGTCATCTCCAGCCGCGCCTGGTAGCAGTGTCTGAGCGTTATGACGCTGGTGTTTGAGTGTTGTTTGGTAAAGTCGAGGATTGTGACGACGGGTTCGTGGAGCCTATGTCGAGATGCGTATAACGTGTACTATTTGGCCTCGAAAATGCGGTTTCCGTTCTCTCGAAGAAACTGGTGCAGGTGCGGTATGATTGGTGATCTATGACGTCAGCGGCGATGTCATATGTTATTGATTCCGATTGTTCGTCTCTGGCTGAAGTCTGGGCCGGGGGCAGAGCTCTTTAGCTGCGATAAGGCCACTTATTCAGCTGACGTCATCTACTCTTGGCAAGTCAGACAACTCCTGCACATTTCGTTGCGCAGTGTCAAATTTAGTTGCGATTGTTTTTAGGGAACGGTGGGTCCTGGATCTGCCTATAAACCATGCCCTCTACTCGATGGCCCCAACATCAGTTTCTTATTGTTTTTTGTTTTTTTATTGTTTGGGTTTTTGGTGAATGGGTTGAACTCTTGATGGTCTTCTATGGGGACCTGGCTATCAATCTTTTTTCTTTGTTTCAACGTTCAGCTCATTCGTTGTTGTCAGAACGTTAGTACTACTGCAAATACTGCGAGTGACTTAACTGCGACGGTCTTAGTTTCATGCAGCATTTTTTCTAATGGAAAAAATATTTTTCGTTCTTCATTTAGCTGCAACATTACTTCTTCTACAAAACACGAATCCACATCCTAAGTGCTACGGACATATATATATATATATATATATATATATATATATATATATATATACATGTATGTGTGTGTGTAGCACTAAGGTTGTGTGTTTGTATATGTATATATATATATAATCAAAATAATTACTCTAAAAATACCCTCCCATATAAATTGTATTGCCAAACTGGTAGCGACTTTTCTGCACCATTTTACCTCCGCCAGCAGTAATTTTACGCTACGTTATTGCCACACCACGAAACCCATACTTAAACAATGCACCGATCATTACGTGTATGCAAAATATAGTATAATGGCTAA